ACTATGTAGACAATTATAGCCACCATGAAAATAGCAGAATATGGATTAGTTGGAATGCTATGGTTGTTAACATTCATGTTGATAAATGTACTAGTCAATTTATTCACTACAGAGTGCTTGACCCTAAAGGAAAGCTCAATTTCAGAATGACTGTGATTTATGCCATGAATACCTTGGAGCAGAGAAGAAATCTTTGGAAGGATATAACCAACTTGCCCAATAACAAAAATGATCCTTGGTGCATTATTGGAGATTACAACAAAATGCTAAAAAACAAATATAGAATTTGAGGTAGATTGGTTACTGAAAATGAGTTCAAAGATCTGCAGGATATGATGGATAAGTGCAACCTGACTGAGATGGATAATCAAAACAGCTCTTCCACATAAGTGCAGGATTACAAAAGAAAGGGAGAGTTTATGCTAATATGTTAATAATATTGCAATGTTGTTCTCACTAGCTTTGCGCAGGTTGTCATCATCAAAAAGGGGGAGTATGTGAGGGCAAGCAGTCACACAACATATGTTCTCAAGTTTCGATGATGACAAAGTACAACCTCGGATCAATAGGAGCTGTCAATTTCACTCAAAAGACAAATTGCAATATTCAACATATCATGTCCTTCCTATATCTCGTTAATTCATTATATTATCATTGGAAAAACATGTGATAAATATTCAGTCGTGAAAAAATGCACGAAACAACAATTGATCATTTTTCAAGTTTTTAAAGCTATGAGTCGACCACACCAGTCAGTGCACACCCATCTAACTTTTCCACGGGTCAGCGCATGGACACCATGAGTCGACCATCAGTCGGCGCATGAAGTCTTCACAATTCTCACGGGTCAGCGCGCGCCGACCTATGGTCGACGCATACTGTGTGATTTTTAATATTGCTGAAATTTGCAGGCTATGCGTCGATGCATAGACCTGCTATGGTCGACCATTCGTGCGTTGTTAAGTATTTTTTCACTGTTTGAAATCCTGTTGTGTTAGTTATTTGTCTTACTACTATAAATAGAAGGTTGTTCATTTTAACAAACTAACAGTTACATTTTGAGTATATTGTGAAAACAAGAAAAGTGAAATAGGTGCTACATTTCTCTTCATCCTCAAACAACACACAACACTGCAACTACACACAACCATTTTTGGAGTGCTTTGTGTCTCATTCAAGGTGATAAGGTTCGAATCCTTTGAGTGAAAGTCCGGTTCGGGTGGAGAATTGTGGCAGGTTTTTCTTGAATAAAACCTTGAAGGTTTTTCCCTCCAAGATTCTACGAATTTGGGGGTTTTTGGTACGGTTATTCTCCATCAACATTCAGCGGTGCGAAGGTGATTGTGAAACGGAAGATTTCATCAATCTAGTAGATGGGGTTGTGAAGTGTTGAAGGGAGTTCCGGGTTCCATTCGTTGGTGTCTAAGATCAGTCGGGCCGAGGGTTTGAAGAACTGAAACTTATTCAACAAAGGGGCTGGAATCGGAGGTCAATTCACAACGATCGGAGGTCTTGATTCAACTCGAATCAAGGAGCAAGAAGTGATAGCAACATCAACATCTATAGGGATTGTTTGTATAATTGCTTATCAACTCTTGTATAAACTACTACAACTTTTCAGGTGATATCTATTATAAATCATCTCAATTCTATTTTTAGAATTGAGGGCAGACGTATCCCGAAGCGAGGACGACGAGGGAACTGCCTCAACAAATCTTTGTCTTCTTTATTTTTCAGCATTTTCATTTTTCAGCTTAAAATTAAGTGATTTTAGTTTAAGCAATTTTATTGATTCGAACATTGAATTTAGTAAGTAACTGGAACTATTTAAACTTGAGTACAATAAACAATTATACAAGGATTTTAAAGTTACTTACTTAAGTCAAAATTCACTTGGAGTATTTTGCACACCAAGTGTTCGATAAATTGCCTGAACCAAAAGTTACTTAGTTTGCTTGCTATATTTTGGTGGGCTGTGTTGAGCATTGGGACTAGTACTACTAAATTGTGTGAAATCAATTGATTAGTGTGACTAGTGTATTGAATCTACTATTCTCTTATTATCATATCCGTTAGCTTAACGCATATCCGATCTTCCAATAACGATTCGTTTTAAACATGTTTTTCCAAGGCCGCTTCCGCACTTAAAAACATTTTTAAAACCAATTTTAAATTGGTAAGCGTCGACTCAAATTTTAATTGGGATCTATTCAACCCCCTTCTAGATCCGAGCCATCGTCTAAAAAAGGGACTATTACACTTGGCGCAACAAGCATGTGATTGACCCTATATACTCTAGAATTGATAGAGTATTAGGAAATGTTGCTTGGTTCCGAAACTTAAATTTCCATCTGAAGCGCATTCCCCCTAGTGTTTCAGATCATGTGATTTTGCATCTACACCACCAGAATCAGGCTAGACCCAGCAGGAAGAACTTCAAATTTATCAATTGTTCTACTGAGCTTTATGATTTTCATGAAGCAGTTGCTAAAAGTTGGGTTGAGCCAGTTATAGGCACCCCTCCTTTTATTATGTGGGAAAAACTAAAAAGTATGACGCCTATTATCAGAAGATTGAGTAAACTCTTAACTGATGTTAAGAGAACAATCTTGGCTGTTAGAGATGATTTAGATAAGTGGTAGGTTGACCTGGTCAATGATCGTATGAACCCTACCATTATCCAGAAGATCAAGGAAAAAACTGAAGAGATCATCAGATGGCAAGACCTGGAGGAAAAGGTGCGGCAACAAAAATCTAAAGTTGATTGGATTAGACTTGTTGATGGGAATAACCACTATTTTCATGCTTCCTTAAAAGTCAAAAATAACTCCAAGAAGCTGATGTGTGTTTACAGAGATGATGACACTGAGCTAACTACCAACATAGATATTTAAGAGGAGGTACTTCACTCCTATGAGGATCTTATGGGGAAAGAGGATATAGATCTCCACCATGTTGATATTAGTGTTATGAGAGAGGGATCCCATCTCAGCCTGGACCAGAGACAAAGCATTCTTGTTCCTGTCACGGAGAAGGAGATTTCTAATGGCCTGTAGAACATAGGTGATAGCAAAGCTCCTGGCCTAGATGGCTACAGTGCCAAAATTTTCAAAAGTTGCTAGAATATTATGAAGTATGATCTCATACACACTATCTGCTATTGGCTAAGGTATAACAAGATGTCTATGGTTTTCAATAGTACCCTTGTTACTTTGATTCCTAAGAAAGTTAATGCTAGACACCTTACAGATTATAAGCCTATTGCTCTTTGTACTATAGTTTACAAAATCTACTCTAAGATTTTAACTGCTAGACTTGCCAAAGTCATTGGTAATATTGTCAGCCAAAATCAAGCAGCCTTTATCCCTGGTCAATAAATTCATAACCATACCCTGCTGGTTGTTGAGCTCCTCAAGGGCTATTCTAGGAAGAATGGTACCCCGAGATGTCTTATGCAGCTTGACTTACAAAAAAACATATGATATGTTGAATTGGAAAGCCCTTGAAACCATCCTCTTGGAGATTGGAATTCCTGAACATTTTGTTAAGTGGATCATGAATGGGGTCACCACTGTCTCTTACAGGTACAATATCAATGGCGAGAATTCCAGAATCATGAAAGCTAGAAGAGGAATCAGATAGGGAGACCCCATCTCTCCCTTTCTGTTTGTGATAGTCATGGTATATATGAATAGATTGCTGGCTAAAATGCAAAGGAACCCCAACTTTAACCATCATTCCTAATGTGAAAAAATGGAGCTCACTCACCTCTCCTTTGCTGATGGCATTCTCTTGTCTGCAGAGGTGACAAGGAATCAGTGGAGCTTATGACCCTTACTATGAAGCAGTTCTGCCAATTTACTGGCTTGATGGTGAATCCATCCAAATGCAAGGTTTATCTTGGTGCAGTTGATGAGGCTGAAAAGCAGCATATTCTTAGAGTGGCTGGTTACAGTGAGGGCAAACTCCCATTCAGGTGCCTTGGAGTCCCTATTACTAGTAGAAAACTTTTTGTGAATCACTACCTCCCTCTCATTGAAAAGATCCTGCATAGATTCATCACTGGAGTGCTAAGATGTTGAGTCATGCTGGTAGAGTCATTGGGAGGAAGAAATGAAGTGGATCACCAAGTACTACAAGGGCAAAGGCAAAAGAGTTGGTGTGATGAAAATTGCCATAGCTGAATCTGTCTACCATTGCTGGAATTATAGAAATGAAACTTGTTTTGATAGGAACCATCACATAGATAAACTTGAAGTTGTAAATAACATTATAGAGTTTATTATTCAAAGGGTTAGTATAACCGAAATTATAGGAAGTATATAGTATTGCTTTTGATGTAATTTCTTTTAGGGTTGGTGGGTTGCTTTTTGCACTCTTGTAATCTTTGGTTTTGAGTTAATGCATTTCTTATTGATTCAAAAAAAAAAAAAAAGAGCATAAAAAAATTTTGTTTGAAAAATAAGCGTTTTAAAATAAATGATAACATGAAATATAATTATTACAAAATGGAATATAATTGTTAAAAGAAAATTTAAAACCAATTAGACGGAAGTCAATCAAATCAAACTAAATCAACTAATCATATTTAATTTCATTTTTAAAAAGCATTAAAAGTCAAACCAATGATTGCATCGGTTTAAAATCTGTTTTCATTTAAAACCGATTCATACTAACCTAAATTTCATCAATTTAAATTTTATTTTTAATTTAAAATCGATCCAAACTAAATTGTTACTTAACTAAGAATCTAATTTAGAAACACCAAACGTGTTAATCTTGTTCTTCTTGCTTGACAAGGTTGCCATATTCTCATACCAAGTTTTTGTTTTGAGCAGAAAAATATATAGTACAAAATACTAATTAATAATAAGTTATTTTGAAAAATTTAAATGAGATTGATGTGATTTATGATTTTATCAATATGATCTTGTTCTTCTCACTCATGTTTATAAAATAAAATAAAACCCCAATAACCATCTAGCCAAACCTATATGTTTTCAAGGAACAATATCATCATCCAACTTGGAGTTAAATACAAAATTAGGAAAACTTGTTGTTATGTCCCTGCATTAATTTCAAATAAAATAGTTAATTATATATATTCACAGTATCTAGATAAAATAAAAATGATTAAATAAATAATATCACACATACGTCAGATAGGGCAGTGTCATGATTTTTAACAATGACATGTTTTTAAAAACAAAATTTTCCCACTCGGATTTGTCTATTTTTCCATCATGGTTTGGGTCAGCATCCAAGAATGTCTAGTCATAAAAATGAAAAAATATGTCAATTTTTAATCTTCTAACTTACATTATTCATTTGTTTGATAATTTATATTATATAGAATTTTTTAAATAAAAAATAACTCACCTTCTCAACAATTGTTTCTACCATATCATCACTTAACTTAATTTCAGATTCACATAAAATTGCATTTATCATTTCTTTGACCTATTAAAAATAACCAAAAATACATGAGAATGATTGGCACAACAAAACATAATAAAGAAAAACTAAACAAATTGCAAAGTATTTAATCAAATTATTACATTAAGAAAAAGTCATAATTAGTATTTAATTATAAGACCATATTATAAACAGACACTTTAATTAGCATCTTACTTCATGACGCTCTATAAATCCTGAATTGTGCAAATCATAAAGCCGGAAGGAAACTGAAGAAAAACAAAATTCAAAACTCAAGCATGTTATTATATGAAATCAAGAATAAAGAAAATAATAATTTATTTCATCAATAAAAAAAAATTAAAATCATGTATGTTATTTTATGTATTGCGATAATTTTCAACTTACAATCTATCTTGGCTTCTCGTGACGCCTTTGGGTGAAAGACATTGAGTGCTCTTACAAAATCACCAAAGCCAATTCCTCCTCTCCCTTTCACATCAAATAGATCAAAGATCTATATGCATAGAGTGAATTTATGCACTTTATGAAAACGTGTATATAAATATACACTTTAAATAAAATATTATTGAAAAAGAAAAAATATGTTGTATAGTACCCGACTTGTAAAGAGATTTTCCTTTGCTCTATTATTGAAAATTGCCAATTGAAATTCTTCCTACAAAAGAATGCTCATTAACACAGATCTCAGGATTGTGCTACTATTCGGTATTTGACACAGACACACGCGAGAAACTAAAAATACTTTTAATGTGAAGTGTTGGGATTGCGAAAAAAAACAACTAGAAATCATATTATTATTGCGGTAGAATGAGATGGTGAAAGATCTTTTTTAATTTAACTAAATATTTTAGGTTTGAATCTTACTCTGAGTATACAACAATATTAAATTTTTTTCAAAGGAGAGATTTGTCACCCATTATAATTCTATTCGCCTCGAAAAATTAAGATACTCGATTTCTATAAAAAATAGAAATGAAACATTTTATAAAGATGTTACCTTGCTTATTAGTTCATCATCAACTATAGACGTACTTATGCTATTAAAAAGTTCAAACAAGGCTTCAACTTCACTGATACTAACTGAAATATAATAAATAAACAACCAAGTTCAGACTAATAGATATTAACATTAATATATACATGATAAATCTATATAGTTATACCAATGTTGATTATATAATAATAAACTTACAAGTCGTTTCTGATGCAAGAATGAATGGATCTTCATGTTCTGGATATGTTCTTCCTCTAGAGGATACACAACCCATTTGTTTATGGTGAATCTATATCAAAAAATTAACAAGATGAAACAATTTTAAAGAAAAAAATATAAATCCAAAAAAGCCATGAAATTGCGGAGATCTTTCAAAAGTTGAACAAAATGAATACATCAAAATCCTTTTCTTATATGCATCAAACAACATGCAAATAAAACTCAATAAATATTTCATGTTTCAACAAAGAAAGGTAGGAGAAAATGACTCACGAATTATAAAAATTTGGCTATAAAATTAGATTTGATATTTTAATCATTATATGGCTATGGTCATATACATACGAACAAGACATCTAAGGTAACTCTCTCGGGAAGAGAGAAACAAAAAATTAAGAAATTAAGGTGTAATATTTATTGATACTCAAGAGCAATGGTAACAATCATGCATATATTACGCTTTAATTTTCTAATTTTTGGTTTTTCTCTTTGTGTGATTATTTGAGATAGTAAAAAATATTTTAGGATTTCGTTTTATATGTATTTAGAAATAGTCAAATGCTAATATTGGCATGTGTTTTATACCCAATTAAAGAGAAAATGCCAATGAGATTAACGGACAACAAAATTTCTCTGTATTTCGACCTGTTGTAACGATAAAAATATCTCTGTAACATATTTTAAAAGTAATTTTTTTAAAATAATAAAACAAGAAAGAATGCAAAAAGTGTTAGAATAGTGGCGCAGTTTATTAACAGTGGTTAACAGTTTCTGTTAGATTAGTAGTTAATCATTACTGTTAATTAGTTATGTTAAATTAGCTTTGTATAAATGCTTTAGCTTCTTTTCATTTATGTAAATGAATAAGTTTTCTGTAAAATATAATACTCAACTTCTTTTTCTACACATGTTGTAACACTGCAATACAGTGAAGATGAACCAAAGACTTCATCTTTAATATGGTATCATTTACGATTTTGATCACCAACGCTTCCCCAATCACTCAACCCTAATCCTCTCAAATCTCGTTCCGAGCTTGTTTCTGCGCATCAATGGAAGATCCAAAGAATCAAGAGTCAGCGAACAAATCTCAATCTCAAGAAGTTTCTACCATTTTTACCTCCACGAAGTCTTCGCAATCATTTGGTCCGAAGCTCTCCATAAAGCTGCAGGAAAATAACTACCTGCTATGGAATCATCAAGTTGAAGGCGCCATCTTGACGCAGAAGATACACATGCTAGTTGTGAATCCTCAAATACCACTGAAATACAAAACAACTCAAGATCGCATTGAAGGTACGATTTCTGAAAAATATGAACCTTGGATCGTGCAGGATCAAACGATATTCATTTGGCTCTTATCTACCATTTATGAGTCTGTTTTGCCTAGGGTTCTTGCTTGCAAGCATGCTTTCGAGGTTTGGGAAAATATCCACCAGTTCTTCAATGCTCAGATAAAGGCTAGGGTTCGACAACTTCGAGTTGAGCTGAAATCAACCAAGAAAGGTAACAAATCAATCACTGAATTTATTTTTCGAATCAAAGCTATTGTGAATTCGTTGCTTGCTGTTGGTGATTCCATTATTGAGCAAGACTAAGTTAATTCAATCTTGGAGGGTTTTCCTGAAGAGTACAACCCCTTTGTGATGAAAATGCATGGTTTCCCCACACCTCCCACATTATGTGATGTTGAAGCCCTATTGTATGTGTAAGAAGCGCAACTTGACAAGTTTCGTCAAGAATTGGCTACTGCAAATGTTGCAGCCAGTGTGGCTCACACAAATCAATAAGAGCATAACTCCAGAGGATCCTATGCTCATAACTGTGGAAGAGGAAGATTCTATCAAGGGCATGGTCGTGGAAGAGGTAGAGCTACTATAACACCCTTCTAAATCCCACAGAACAATACGTCATAAATCAGAGTAAGATGACATGCATCTCAAATAAGGGTGTCACATATAATTCAAACATGACACATACACATGTCATGCTCGATAACACTTAACTTAAATTCATGCTTTTCATACACTTTCACATAGAATGTAGCAGCAGAATCACTGTCATTCATAACGAACATAATAAATAGTCTCATAAATAACTCATTCTTATCACCACTTAGGCATGAAAGCCAAAACTCCACATAATTCAAATAATGATAGAAAAATAAAATAAAGTACATAAAGTATCTCTAAAAACATGAATCAAAACGTTCCAAGTGTTACATGACTAGAGCATGACTCGAACCAAAAAAAATAAGGAAAATATAGTAAGCAACTCCAACAGCTACCCTCGTGGTAGAAGCAACTCTATTCTTCAGTACCTGAGCGATATCGTATAAAACATCATTCTAACAGAACGGTGAGAACTCACATAATTATCAAAATCATAAAATAATATATAATACATAGCATACATGCATGACATTATTTTTTTCACACTTCAAATGCTTTATAAACATAACACCACTCAAGCAACCATACTATTCATAAGTACATAATTACAAATCCACAATTTCACGAATTCATCAAATTCGCATAATGCACGTAATCTCATGTTGCAATTATAAACACAATGTGACTCAATACAAGACTCAAATAGAATACTCATGCATGTGGTACCAATCACTATTATTATTTTTTGGTTTTTACATTAAACTGGGTCCGTCCTCTAGACCAATAAAATACAAAAGCCCATCCTCTAAGCTTCAAACCCCTTTCTAGGTTTTGGACAAGTCACTAGTTCCCACGAAACTAACAAGCATTTCCTCTTGACTACAATGATGCATGTGCAAGTTCAACAACCATATGCAATTAAGCTCATTCGTCAATCTTAACATCCATGCATATCTTCAATAATTCGTCGTAATTGAGTTACCACACAATTACACATACTTGCACATGTTTATGAATCACCCACACACAATTCACTTTCAAATGGTATACAACACATTTTACAATACAGTCACGACTTTATTATCATTACAACAAGAAATAACTATTACACATTTCATGTTTTCACACACCAAAATATACTTATACAAGCACAAACATAAATATTCGATAAATTATCCACAAATAATTTCACAACCGGCAGGAAATAGTACAACAATTCATTAATTAAACATATACACAATTGGCTTCCCAAACTTATTAGATATAAAAATATTGGGCGACCAATTCTCTTATCTATGTTATGTTATAGCTATATTCATTAGCTTTCTAACGCTTCAAACGGAGACCAAAACAGACTTACAGATCAAAAGTTACACCTATTCTGCCATCACTCGCTACAGGTTCGCTACTGCTCGCGTCGTGACTTTCGCTATGCAAACTCTCCAAGACGACAACATAGAAAAGTGAATTTTTTGCAGTTTGGAGGCCTTTCGAACCTCTGAATTTGATTTCGTAAAAAATTTTAGTTCCTGAATTTGAAATACTACCATTATATGACTACTATAACAGCCCACAACACATATTTAAGGATCCTACCGTCATACATCATGTAATCATCAATTTCAAAACCATGGAAATTAGGGATTTTTATCTTAAATATGATACTACCCATCATACACTATCATACAATCTCATAACCATATAAAGATCCTCCATTACCTTGATTTCTTGATGAACTCTTGAGTTTCCTCCTTAGGTTTTCTTCTCCTCTTTTCCTCTTTTCCCCTTTTCCTTTTCTCTATATTAGCTTCTTTTCTTCTTTTTCCCCTATTAACTCTCTTTTTCTCTTTATATATAAAACCCTTATAACAACTAATTCTAGTAATTAATGGGCTTACTAATCATACCCCCACCTTTACTCTTCACATTCTCATCCAATAGGCCCAATTATCTTATTCCTATTATTTCTATATCATTTGTACCAAATAAAATAATCTAAATAAATCAATTACGCACAAAATCACACAATTAATTAATTAATAATATATATATATATATATATATATATATATATATATATATATATATATATATATATATATATAATTACTAAAAATTATGGTGTTACAATCCTCCCCCACATAAAAAGATTTTCGCCCTCGAAAATGACCTCAAACGAACAGATCAGGATAAGACTCTCTCATCTGACTCTCAAGCACCCAAGTCACGTTTCCACCTGATGGTCCTCCTCAAGCTACCTTAACTAAGACAATCTCTTTACCTCGAAGTTGCTTCAACTCCAGATCCTCTATTCGCATAGGTGATGTCTCCACAGTCAGGTTATCTCTCACCTGCACATCATCTATTTGGAATACATGAGATAGATCTGCAATGTATTTCCTCAATTAAGATACATGGAACATATCATATAAATTAGAAAGCGACGGAGGCAAAGCAACCTGATATTCCACCTCTCCTATTATCTACAAATCTGGTATGGACCGACAAAACACGACATTAACTTATGCGAATTCAATGCTCGACCAACACCAGTTACCGAAGTAACTCTAAGAAACGCACGATCTCCTTCCAGAAATTCAAATGCTTTCTTCTTCTTGTCATGATAACTCTTCTGATGACTCTGAGAAATCTTCATCTTCTTCTGAATCATATTAATCTTATCAGCAGTCTGCTGGACTATCTCAGGTCCAACCACAACACTCTCTCCCAACTCATACCAACACAATGGTATCCTACACCTCCTACCGTACAAGCCTTCAAACGGTGTCATTCCAATACTCAAATGAAAATCGTTGTTGTAAGTAAACTCAATTAAAGGCAAGTAGCTATTCCAAGCATCTCCTTTTTCCAACACACAAGCTCTCAAAAGATCCTCAAGTGACTAAATTTTCCTCTGCATCAGACCATCTGTCTGCGAATGATAAGCAGAACTCAACTGCAACTTCGTACCCAAAGCACTTTGCAAACATTCCCAAAATCTCGAAGTAAACCTCAGATCTCTATTTGACACAATACTAGACGAAATACCATGCAAACTGACAATCCTCTCAATGCACAACTTTGCTAACTTCTCCAATGGGTAATCCATTCTCATTGGAATAAAATGAGCAGATTTTGTCAATCTATCTACAATGACCAAAAT